AATATATGTTTATCAAATAAAGTCTAAATGTTACAACTAATCATGGATCCCTTTAAGGATAACCGTACTGCTCATATGGCCCTCAGTGAAAATGCGTTTGACATCCCACTCTACACCATTGTCTGATTAACCTGGAGTAGCATTTCCTCTTGCGTCCACAACCTGGGAGGTTAATCATAGTCCCATAAACCTTTCACTTTTTAATCATCTTGGCAGCTGTGGTCAGAGGAACATGAACCAGCTCGCAGACAGTTCAAAAGTATTTACCTCTAACATCTACAATCTTCTTTCTGAACTCCTCTTTGGTCACCAAAGGGATAACTGGTCCTGACAACACTTACCAAAACATACGTAACACTAAATATAGTACTTTTATACTAACCATAAGAGCGCTTACTTTTAGTTGACTTTTTATGTATTTATCAACGATTTACTTAAAAGTTTATGTACGTATACTAGACTTATATTAAAAACACACTAAATGTCTACTCATATGCTTAAGTATATTTATTGAGAAGTACTTGAGATACAGTATACTTTTTTTGATAAGTGAAAGTAGGTGTTTCATCACAAACGGTTTTAACAGGTAACAGAACCAGATCCACACACTGGAAAGCAGATGTTGGCCTGCCTTTAGCCGGCGGGCCATTATACCATGTCTAATGATCTATAACAGGGTGTACATCAGAACCAGCTGAAGTACAGACAAATGTGATTTAGGCTTTTTTCCCAGACAATATCTGCTTCTGGTTGCAKTAAATAAGCCTGAGTGGAGTGRCCTGCCAGTCCTGAAACAATAGCAGAGTGGATTTATTGGTCCTGACAGCCGAAAAAGCTCCTCACACACACAGAGGTTCATTTTTCTGCACCTATGAGGACCTTGTATTGACTTCTACTCATTTCTGTTTTGTAGCTGTGACCTGTCACACCTCAGCTCTAAGCCTAACCCTGATCTGCAGGAGGACTGCCGGTCGTGATAAGGCAGAGGAAAAGGTGTTAAAAACACAACATAAATCCTCCTCTCCTGTCAGAGTCTGACAGCAGCTGGCTTATCAGAGGCTGCTGTGCAACATCTGGACAGGAAGTGTGTTCTGAGACCTGACCACAACTGCCCCCTGCATGGTTGATCTTTTCTTTAAAAACAACGTCCAGCAGAAAGCAACCCTCCACTTGTCTCTTGAAAGAACCAAAGAAACAGAATAAAGCTCAAGGTTTGGAGCTGGGATTGTCTCATACTTTACCTCCTGCTGCCACCTCCTGGTCCAGTAGTGTCAACAAACACACAGAGGCTGGAAGGTTTCAAAATCACATTAAAAAAGGTGTAAAAATTGTTCAAATGTAAACAACAGGGCTGTGAAATTAATCAAGTTAACTCATATTGATTACTTTTAGTGCTGGGCATAGATTAAAAATTTTAATCACAGTTAATCATAATTAATCTAACTTTTTTTTTTTACAATGACTTTACTCTGTCTGAATCTGTAGGTTTGTATATTACAATGCACTCAGTGCATCATGTCAGGTCATGTTTGTAAATGAGAAGTGGTTCTCAAACAGTTTACCTGCATAAGTAAAGGTTTAATAAATAAATAAAATAAAATAAA